GGGGTTTAGGGGGTTTAGGGCTCCTTTAAAGGGATCTATAAGGGTTCCTTTGAAGGGATCTATAAGGGATCTACAGGAAGTTTAGGGGTTTAGGGGGTAGGGGTTTAGGGGTTTAGGGGTTTAGGGTTTAGAGGTTTTAGGGGCTTTAGGGGTTTAGGGTTTAGGGTTTAGGGTTTATCTAGGTTACTATAATCCCTATGTGGGGAGTTCTCTAAATTAAGAGCCGTTTTGAGGTCCCCAATATAGTACGGCACCTGTATAGAAAGGACCCCAAAATTCCAAAAGGGACCTTAATTTAGAGAACTTCCTATATAATTCCAGGTTTAGCAGGAGACTACCCGCAGTTTTGGTACTACTCCCTGCATTGCTGGTCCACTTCTCCAAGCTGGTGTTCGACATACTTCGGCCGAGGGTAACAGGGGCTCAACATGATTCGTCAGCTTTCGGACGTATGCTTGTGCGTAAAGGCGAACGTACTCCAAAAGGGCTTAAGGTTCACCTACTTCTCAAGACGATCACCAAGGCTACACCACATCATAGGATCTAGGAATTTCAGTTTGCTTCAACTCAGACACCAAGAGCAGGGGGGATTTTTTTCTACACTTCGACCGGCCTCGATTCTAAACCCTACCTGAGCCCCCAATAAACTACTTTCAAGGACTTGATTATATAAGGAACTCATAATAAGGAGCCCTCAGAAAGGTAGGCCACCAGGTAGGCGTTAATTATAGAGCTCAGGCAAGTCCGGGGCTAACAATAATCCATGGAGGTATAGTCTTAACATGCTATACACTTAAAAAGCCCCACTTACGAAGTCCCGGACCCTTTACCGCGCTGAACCCTCACGTAGGCGTCAGCGTGAAGCACTGATTACACCTTATACACCCTAAACTGAAGCCCTAAACCCTAAACCCTAAAGTCCCTAATCCCTAAGACCCTAAACCCCCTAAGCTCTAAACCCTAAAGTCCCTACTCACTAAGACCCTAAACCCCCCTAAACCCTAAACCCTAAAGTCCCTACTGACTAAGACCCTAAACCCCCTAAACCCTAAACCCTAAAGTCCAAAACCCTAAGACCCTTAAACCTTAAGGTCCCTAATCCCCCTTAAAAACATCACCGAAACATTTAATTTGGCCCAGGTTGTGTCTTGCAGCGTACAAGTCGAATCCCAACGCCACGAGCAGCCTGGCTTACACAAGCGGGGAAGAGCAGTCATAAACCAGGCCCCTCTACGGCTTTGGGGCTTAGGGTGGGGTATATCTTTATGTATGTTTGTATATATATATATATGTATGTATATATATATAGAAAAATATTTATACATACACATCTATAAGGGCTGTCTAAGCAGTCTTTAAGCGTTCGCCAAATTAGAAAGAAAGCTCTATAAGCAGTCTGCGCTCTAGAAGTGTTTTGTAAGGGCTCAAGAAGAGTCCTATAGTTGTCTAGAGGGGTTCCACAAGCGCTCTTCAAAGGCTTCTACAAAAAATCCCAGTCTAAACCTGAAATCTTCTTATCGCAGAGAGAACCCTAAACCCGCAACCCTGGATCCCCTTAGCCTCTAACCGTAATTCTGCAACCCTACATGACAGTCAACATTCAACTTGCCAGGGCTATGATCGTAGCAGAAAAGAAGAAGCAAACGGAATTCGGCACTATCTTTGGCAGGCGTCTAGGTATCTATAGTAACGACTCGACCCTTCTTTGACCCTAGGCCGGCAGGCTACGGTAGTAGTGCAGGACGGCAGGCAACAGTCGCACTGTAGTCGTACCTATCTGTCTAATTATAGTCCAATTCCCTCCACCACTGGGCTCTTGTTCAGAAACTTAACTGAAGTTACCATAATAGGGATGTATGAAATATGGGTTGCAGTCACCAAAAATAAGGAACCTATAGTAAATAATGGAGATGCCTTATAACCCTAACTTAAGTTAGTACTCTTGAACAAGAGCCCGGTCCGAGGCCGTGAGGTTGCAGCGGTGCAGATGGCATGTGAAAGAAGATCGCCGGAAATGTTGGAATGTGCCCACGGCTTGCTTCAGAAAGCCCTACCTGAATCCTGAGAACCTAGTTTTACGCTTCCTTGCTTTGATTTGTTATACATATACACATGTATATAGAAAAGTTCGAAGCAAAGTTTTGGTTTGTTCGAGTCCCGGTAAACCCTAAACCCCTTACCTGTACGGTTTGCTTGCTTTCAGGTAGTCTTTCGGGTTTAGATCATAGTGAAGATAAGGAGCATTAAGGAACAGTGTATGGGCATGCATGCAGGCTTCTACATTGCACCCTAAAGCCCTAAGATCACGAGACGCGATGTCGCAACAGCCGAACACAACGCGACAGCGAGGCATCCTGAGAGTGGGTGTGGACAAGGCAAAGTCAGCCGAGAAGGACCGCAATTGGGTTTAGGGTTTGGTGCGTTGGGTTTAAGTAGTTTTGTAGGGCACCCTAAACCCCACACCCTAAACCCTGAACTGTGGGGCTTGTTCTCTTTTAGGGATCTGGGGTTTCAGAAACTGTGAAAAGTTTGGATTTGGGTTTAGGTTGTTACGCTGTAGGGCCCTTAGGGTTTAGTAGTTTAGGGTGTGCAGTACGGATTTTGGCGATTTGGGCTTGGGGTTTAGGTTTCAGGGTTTGGGATTCAGAGGGGCTCGGGATTAAATGATGAAATGCGTGGAGCTTCAGTGTCATGTATTTCGGGCTTATGTCAAGATTAGGACGATTCTAATCATTCGTTTTGAAATGGGGATCCTACATGATTCCACTATTCAGGCCCGCAGAGGGAGGGGGGGTTGTTCATCAGAGGTCCTTACTCATAGGCCCCTAAGTAGTTCCTTTTTGGGGATTACCTTCTAGGATTCTAAATAGAAACCATAAAAAGGAACTGCTTAGGGGCCGATGAGCAAGCTCTCAAGAGGGCTTTGGGCTCTACCTGCGATCAGAACGGGATTTCACAGCGTCATACTGTTGATGATATAAATCCTTAGCATTACCCATAGGCCCCTAAGTAGTTCCTTTTTTGATGGTTTTTATTTAGAATCCTATAAGGTAATCCCAAAAAGGAACTACTTAGGGGCCTATGGGTACCTTAAGGACCCTAAATTATGGAATTATGGTATATTCCTTATTATGGGCAATGCCGGATTTATATCATCAACCGTATTCTGGCTGTATCGGCGTCAGGTTTGAGAGCCCTGGCAAATGGGGTCGAGAGGGGAAAGTTTCTCGCTCATCACGTTTCAACCCCAAAACCTGATACTTCGAACCCCTAAATCCCAAAGCCTAAGCCCTAAACCCAAACCCCTAAGCCCTAAAACCTAAACCCCAGAAGTAGCCCAAACCCGTGAACTTTCCGAAAGCATTCCCAGGAGTTGCACGCTCTGCATATTGCATCTGCAAATGGCCTGGAGCAAGCCGTCAGCTGCCTCCTGGAGGTGCCACGTTTCATACCCGAACTGCTTTAGGGCTTACCCATAGGCCCCGAAGTAGTTCCCTTTTGTGGTTTATATTTAGAATCCTATAAGGTAATCCCATAAAGGAACTACTTAGGGGCCTATGGGTATAGGGTTTAGGGGTGCTGGGTTTAGGGCTCAGGGTTTCAGGAAAACTAACAGCCCCATGCCTCCCTGAGCCTTCCCTGAAACCTCTATCCCAAACTCTAAACCCTAAAGGGTTCGGATTTGGGGGTTTAGGGAAGACAAGATTTGGAGCGGTCTTTCTTATGCCCAGCCTGGCCGACGGCTTCTTCGGTGCCCTGGAATGGTTCAGACCTCGGCGTCGTAGATCCCTTGCCCTAACGCCCCAAAATAGGGAGCTGCCAGGGCTTGCGGTTAAGTCCTTCTCCTTGGTACATGGGTAGTTTCCTAAATTAGGGTCCCTTTTTAGCTCCCCAATATAGCACGGCGCCCTTATAAAAAGGACCCTCAAAGGGACCCTAACACACTTACGGTACAGGTCGTCTCCCCAAACCTCGTCTTGCTTCTTCAGCCCTTGAAGCCTAAAGCTCAAATCCTGAACCCTACAGCTCTAAATCCCTACCCATAGGCCCCCTGTGTAGTTCCCTTTTGGGATTACCTTATAGGATTCTAAATACAAACCATAAAAAGGAACTACTTGGGGGCCTATGGGGAAGCACCCTGCAGGCCCGGACCGAACCAGACATCCGCACAAAAGCCGGGTTGACACCGCTCTACTTCGCTGCCGCCTGGGCGCGTGAGGGCGTGGCCGACTGTCGCGTGGCCCTGTGGTAGGCCATGGGGTTTTGTTTTAGGGAGGTGTTAGGCTCTAAAGACTCACCCCAAGACCCTAAAAGTCTAAGGCTGGTTTAGGGTCCAAAGCAAACCTGAAATCCAGAAGTTGCAAACTTGGCAACCTGTAGAAGTTTGTACTTAGTTCAGGGTTTGTGTAACGGTTTAAAACCACACAGCGTAGTTAGACATCAAGTGTAGCGATCGAGCAGGAAGCCCCGCAGACTTGTGGGCTGTATCGATCCTCAGATTCCAGGGAGACCCCTGTAAACCCAAATTCCTGAATATTGCTTAGGTTCAGAATGCGCAGAAGCCCTGATCAGAGCGAGACATTAAACCTACAATCGAAAATTCTGCAGAACGCGGAAGCATTTATCAAACCCCATTGTGAAATCCTAAGGTTTCCAAAACTCATGTCAAAAATGCTGTAAACCCAAAACCAACCCTCCACCCCTAACCCGAAACTGCTAAGCCATAAACGAAGAAGAAATCACATACCCTAAAGCCTAAACCCTAAACACATTGAGAGTCCAAGGCCTCCTGGCCGCTGCAGCAGAGATCGATGCTGCGGCCTCCAACGGTTGGACGCCTCTGCGTCATGGCTTTGGGGCTTGGGGTTTGAGGTTGAAGGTTAAGGGTTTGGGGTTTGGCGAAAACGGGGTTTGAGCTTTAGGGTGTAGGGTTTTTAGAATTTGGAGACAAGGGGATTAGTGTTTGGTCTTTAGGCTTCAGGGTTTGGAGAAAGCGGGCTTCGGGGTGAAGAGTTTGGAGTTCAGGGTTTAATTTATAGGGTTTAGGGTTCAGGTTTTGTGGTATTTTGGTAAGATAGGGGTGTATTTATATAGGGTTTAGGGTTTAGGTTTGGTGGTATTTTGGTGTTATAGGGGTGTGACCAGTTGCTAATACGCAGCTCCCCCAAGACCCCAAGAACTTGTGGCATTGCTTTGTCGAGACTTGTGGCTTACAGGGGTTTAGCTCTTGGGGATGGGGTGCTGTAGTTCTCTAAATTAGGGTCCCTCTTTAGGTCCCCCAGAATAGTAGGACCCCCTTAAAGAGAGTCCACCCAAGTAGAAGCCTTATAGTACCCTTATTGCAGAAATGCAGAAACCCTTGTAGATCCCTTTAAGGAACGCTAGATGAAATCTCATGATTCGAGGTTGGAGAATGGAGGCTTTCGGTTATTTGGGGTTTCGGGTTTACGGCACAAGCCCAGGATCTGGAAAGTAGGTTCCTGTAAAGAGCCTTTGGTAGGATTGGGTGTCCCAAATTAAATAGGGCCAGGGGTCTAGGAAGAAGGGAAAGGCTCGACTGCCGTCGTCCATGCAGCCGCAGCGGCCATCGTTTACAGTGTTTACCAGGAGAAAGAGTCCCCAAACCCTCAACCTTAAACCCTAAACCTCTCTGGGTTTCGAGCAGGCAAGGTTTCAGGGTGTACTGCTTGAGGGTTGTCAGGGTGGGGGCTGCAGGCTTGCATGGTGTAGCCTTCATGGTTGCGGGGCATTTCTTCGTTTGGTGGTTTCTGGATGTTTTGGGGTCTGCCTTTAAACTTTAATCAGTGGTCTGTACATCTAGACTGCGAGTCTCCTCACACAGAGAGCTTTGTAGCTGTTCAAAGCAAGATCCCCGAAAATGCCAAAGCGTAGACGATAGCGTCGCTGCAGCAACCCCCCCCCCCGGTTACTTCCAGGTTCGTGGCCGTTCAGCGCGAACGGGTCGATATCGCAAAGCTTCCCGGCTGGGTTGAGGGGCCCAGCAGGCCACGAATACATAAGGATCCCACAGTCATGGGGGTTTAGGGTTTAGGGACGCAAAAGCTAGGATCCTGATGTGTTCAACTTGACGAAGCTCTTGATTGGTCCTGGTCACGGTAAGGGGGTTTAGACAGGCTTTCTAGTGTTTGACTATTGCCTACCCAATTGTGATCGAGACCCAGCAGGAAGAAGCAGTAAATACCATGCTTCTGTTGTGGCACCTTACGTCAACAACCCGGGTTTCGCTCCATGAATCAAGGTACGAATGTGCAGCGTAAACCCAGAAACTGCAGTCACCCCACCGGCAGGCAGGGTTCTAGGATTTAAGCGTGCTTCGCAACAGCATCAGCAATCAATCCTTGCACGTTGGGAGATTCGGCACCTCCATTCCCTAAGCCCTAAACCCTAAATAGGCCAGAGGTTCGGAGGTGCTTCCTTGTCTTGTTTATTGCGGATGCCGTGTTCCCAACCAGCTTGTCTGTCTGCTTGTGCTACCCTTCCACAATCCTAAACCCTACCTGCGAGACCCGCAAGAAGCCCCAAACCCCTAAAGCCCCTAAACGGCCCTAAACGGCCCTAAACCCTAGAGCCCTTAAACCCCTTAACCCCTAAACCCTAAGCCCTCAACCCCTGAACCCTCAACCCTAAAACCAAGACTCAACCAGGCCTGGCAAAAGCCAGGATCACCCGAAGCCGGAATCGGAAATCAGAGTGAACTCAGAGAGTAGCGAGCCCAAAGAGCTCCGGGCATCGTAGGGGTTTAGGGATTTAGTTGTTTAAGCTTGTTTTGGTGGAGGTTTGGGGTTTAGGGATTTAGTTGTTTAAGGTTGTTTTGGTGGAGAGGTTGAGGATTTAGGGACTTAGTTGTTGTGTAGAGGTTTTGGGTTTAGCGATTTAGTTGTTTAGGGCTTTGGCCGTAGAGGTTTAGGGTTTAGGGATTTAGTTGTTCAGTGGTTTGGGTGTAGAGGTCTAGAGTTTAGGGATATAGTTGTTTAGAGGTTTGGGTGTAGAGGTTTAGGGTTTAGGGATTTAGTCATGTTAGCTGTATGTGTTGGGGGCTACCTATGTTGAACATCCCTTCGTTGCGAAGCCTGACATTCGTCCAAGACTCCGAAGCCAACTTCTCAAGAGGGTGAAAAGCCAATGATCAGCAACACCTAGCATTACCGGCACAACAGCGGTGCTACATTGTAGCCAATTGAGTTCTAGCAGCCAACTCAAAGCCAGTATCGTCGTTCGTTTGCATGCATCCAGATTTGCGATTTCGGACACAGAGGAGCCATGTGAGCTCATGTGCAGATAAGCATCATGTCACAGCAGTGTTACACTGCCTACATGTACTCATCAGCTCAGCTTGCCCTTTTTTGCACCGGAGCCGGCTCGCCACGCATGTCGCATCAACGCGTTTCTGTCATCGTCCCCGATTTCCTTTTCCTCTCTGACATGACTGCGGCTCTGGACGAATCTGTGGTTTTTGGTGACCAAGGCTACAACTTCACGCACATCATCAATGCCACGGATGGCTGTGCTCCAAATAAGTTCGCTGGGACAGGCTCGATACAATATCTGAATATTAACATCGAAGATGACGCCACAGCGGAAGATCAAATGTTAGCTGCATTTGGCTTGGCTTACGACTGGGTATCTGCCAGGGACCTCAAGGAAATGCGACTGTTGGTTCATTGCATGTGCGGGGTGTCACGATCAGCATCGATCGTGGTTGCCCTTCTGGCCAAGTTACAGACGGGTGTACCAGAAGGTTCCTCTGTCTGGCATTGCTTCCAGTTCGTCAAAGAACGCCGCCCTATCATACGCCCAAACGCAGGTTTCCTGCGTGCTCTGCTTGCGTGGCAGGATCTGCTAGGTCCTGGAGCAACACTTCACGATGAGGAGAGACAACAGCTGCTGTCGCTGATTGAGAAAATGGAGCTTTCAGACCCCAGGGCACCACCGGCTGGCAAAGTGCAAGGAGCTTTGGACCGATTGGCGGAGGACCAGGCAGTCTTCCCTTGGTGCAGCATTCTTTAGGGTTTAGGAGTTTAGGAGTTAAGGGTTTAGGGCTTCTTGCTGGGCTACTTCTTCATGAGTGCTCTGTCGACTCGCCGATTTCTGCTGGAAGTCCTGGAGAATGACTGTGGCTCTGCTAAATCTATCCTCGGTTGCACGCGCGACTGTCTCACGACTCGAGATGCAGCCCGCCAAAACAGGAGCCTGAATCATTACCGATACTATTGCTTAGGGTTATTCTAGAGCTACTTGAAGTATACGGAAACCCCTATTCGATATATTATGAAGCCCTGGTAGTACCCACTGCCTCGGTGGATTCGCAACGTGTTTACGTGCCTGCTCATGGGACACAGAAGTAGATGGACACCTGCGTGGTTTGTTCGCCTGATGACTTGAATGATGGAAGAAGCGGGTGAGATGCAGACAACCTAAACCCGAAACCCTAAGCCTTTGACCCTAAACGCCAAACCCTAAACCCTAAACCTTAAACCGTAGACCCTGAAACACCAAGAGACCTCTGAGAAGGAGACTGCGAGGCCTCAATCTGACCCTCGACACGTAGCTACCTGGACCCTGAAGAACCTACTTTTTAAGGGGCTCCTTATTACAGGCTTTAGGGTTCAGGGTTCCCTTACTTAAGTCCGTAGACAGGTAGGTTATTTAGGGGCCTTTTAAGGACTGGTTATACCAACTGGGAGCCCTAAAAAGGTAGGTCCAGGTGGGTTCGTTTGGGTCCCAAGTATACCCATAGGCCCCTAAGTAGTTCCTTTTTCTGGCTTATATTTAGAATCCTATAGGGCAATCCCAAAAACGAATTACTTAGGGTCCTATGGGTACCTGAAGGGCCCTAAACTATGGAATTATGGTATATTCTAAATCACAACCATAAAAAGGAACTACTTAGGGGCCCCTAAACCCTAAACCTTGAACCCTAAACCCTAGCCTCTAGAATCTTTATCAGCTCTGGTCGGAGCCTCGAGGGCTCTTTGAGCTCTGGGAGATCCCTGGTGCCAAACGGTAGCAGCGAAGCTTCCTCGAAAGCCGAGGAGTAGAGTAGCTAAGGTGTGAACTCGAGCCGGTCTAACCTCTTAGGGTTTAGGGTTTAGGATTTAGGGTTTAGGGTTTAGCATTTAGGGTTTAGGGTTTAGGGATATTACATCAATGATGCCGCCCTTATCACTCCAAAGCTTAGCTTCTAGCTGGGATGCTGGACAAGTAAGGAAAGCAATATCAGGCCAAGCATGCCGACGAGGACGATGTCCCCGAAGTTCTCCCAAGATATCGCCATCAGCCGTCCACCCCCAAAACCCCAAACCCCGAGACCTGAAGCCGTAAACCCTAAAACCCGAAACCCTAAACCCTAAAACGCTTAAAACCATATACCTTAATAAGCCCTAAACCCTAAAGACCCAAACCCTCAAACCCTAAACCCGAAACCCTAAACCCCCATACCCTGAACTCCTGAACCTTACAGTAGAAGCCCAAATGGAAACCCAATAGCCTCAATCCTTAAGAGTAATGTCTGAGGAATCCCAGCACTATTTTTCCTTAATCCGCTTTCCAACTTTTTTTTATGGGGTTTGCTATACCCTACGCCTTAAACCCTAAACCTTCCACCCTAAAATGCCCCTTAAAGGCCGCAACGGTCGAAGCCCCAGGCTTCTTTTGAAAAGCAGGGCCGACATGAACAGAGTGGACACGAAGCAGAGGACATTCCCTGCCCTTTGGAGTTTAGGGCTTTAGGGGTTGACCTATAGTCACCATCGTAGTTCCCTTTTTTCGGGTTACCTTCTAATCTGCTAAGTATAGATTAAAACCAAAACAGGAACTGCAATGGAGACTATGGGGGGAAGGGTTTTCGGGTATAGAATTCAGGCTTTGGGTTTGGCAGGGCTTAGGGCTTCACTGTTTGGCAGGGCGTTTGCCTGGGCTTTAGCATCTGCAGGCTTGAGGGTTTAGGGTTCCAAGGATTAGGCGTTGGGGACTGTGGCATTTCGTTTGGGACGTAGGGCCGTGGCAAGATAAAGGAGCCCCCGCGTGAGCCACTGCAAAATATTCAGGTCCACCCTGTGCAAGCCAATAAGATATCCTTTTTCCATAGTACACTAACCTTGAAGCCTCGCAACTCAGGAGGGTCCTTTGAGGACTCTTCCCCCCCCCCCCCAAAAAAAAAAGAGGCTTAATTCAAGGCCCCAGGTCTGAAGTGTAATGGCCCTAAACCCCAAAACCCTAAAAGCCCTAAGTAAAACCCCAAAACCCCAAGCCCTGAGTTAAGGGTTTAGAGTTTAGGGCTTCGTGTTTGGGGTTTCGGGTTTAGTGGCCAGGGCCCGGAAGACATTGAACCCCAGAAACCCTGAATATTAAACCCCGAAGCCCCATTAGGTTTCACTTAAACCCTTATCCCTAAACCGAGCTTAGGTTTAGGGTTTAGGTGCTTAGCCCTTTTCACCTAGAACCCACACCAAAACCAGAAGCCGAAAGCCCTCTGGCCACCTTGACAGGACTCCGCTGTACTTCGCTGCTTGCATGGGCCAGCTCAGGATAGCCCGGGTGATGTTCCCTGGCGACCGGGTAGGGGGGGCAGGGGGTTAGGGATGCTTGTTGGTTTTGATTTTTAGGGGGTTTAGGGGGTCGCTTTGGCGGGTGTAAGTATGTTAGGGATTCTAGTTGGTTCTGTTTTTTTGGGAGATGCTGTGCTTTGGGGGTGTAGTTGCTGGCCTGTTGTTTTTTCTCGTGATGTCAGGGGCCTCTACTAGTCGGGTTCAGGACTGCCTGGATTTAGGAGATGATAAAAGTTACAGGGCTTGCGGTTTACGTACATCCTCAAGCACCCAAACATTGACTTTTGGGTGGTAGATCACTACTCGATTGTGGATTCATGGGATATCCCAACCTTGCTGGTGTTGCTTAGCTTTTTTGTTAGTGATTGGTTCCCTAGACTTCGACCCGAATCCACCCGCGAGCCACAGTCGCCGCCCAGGCTGCGAGATCGCGTTTTGGTGAATTCGAGCTTCTTGGCTTGCCTTCCAAGTTATACAGGGCGAGATTTTGGGACTTGGGGTACCGGCTTTAGGCTCAGGGTTTAAGGTGGTTTAAGACAAAAGTTGGTGTCCCTAAACCCTAAACTCCCGCACCAACCTCTAACCCCTTAACTTCTGAACCTTAAATAAGCGCCCGAAACGCCCAAGCCCTGAACCACAGGAGCTTTGGGTTGTTTGGTTTGGAGCTCTTCGATTTTCCACCACCTGACCTCGGCCCCACGTGTGTAGAAGCGCCAAACCCGCAAAGGCTCCAGAACCTCATTGCCCCCCTTTTCACGGGAAGGCTACAGCCCTAAACCTCCAATAGAGAACCCTTCTTTAGACCTTTCTAGGCCTCCCTTAAAGAGGCACGCTTAAAAGGGAGCACTAAGGCTAAGACCCTAAGGCCCTAAGGCCCTAAACTGAAGGAGATCGGCGTGGGTGGACGCCGCTACACGCCGCCATAGCCCATGGGCAGGCCGTGTGCAAGAAGCCGGTTCTAGGGCAGGTTCTAGGGTTTGGGAGTTTAGGGTGTAGGAGTTTGGAGTTGAGGAGTTTTGGTTTTGGGTTTCGGGCTAGGTTTGGGGTTTTGCGGTTCCGGTTGGCCTTTTCAGACCCCTATAAACCTGAATCCTCAAGCCCTACACCAAGCCGACGACATACTACACCCTGACAGCCCCACGTATAGAGCCCTTTATGGAAGGGAAACCTGTTTTGCGCCCCTATGATATCTCAACTCTAAACTATCCTAAACAACCCTAAATCCTACGCTCTACACCCTAAACTCTAAATCCTAAACCTCAAACCCTAAAACGGAAAGCCCGAGACCATAAACTGAACCTAAACCCTAAATCCTACGTCCTAAACTTTAAATCCTATACATCTTACACCCTATTTCAAGGGTCCAAGGACCTAAGATTTCACACACTCTCCGAAGTGCTAACCTACACAACTACTATCCCAACCCCGAGTACCTACTTACTGGGTCCTTTGGACCCTTAGGGTAAGCAAGTAAGCCCTAAGCCTAAGCCCTAAACCCAAAACCCTAAACCCAAAACCCCCAAGCCCTAGACCCGAAGCCCTAAACCCCCCCTTTGGACCCCTTAGGGCTCGATTGAAGCCTTGGCAGACTGACATGGTCCGGAGTCTCATCGACTGGGGCGCCGACATCACAGCGACCGGGTCTGAAGCTTCAGGAAGTTTGTAGCCTTAATGAGTTACACCGAAGGGTTCCTTTAAGGGTTCTTTTGGGGTACTACAATGGGGGTCCCCCTTTAAGGGGTAGTATAGGATTCTGTAGTAGGGTTCTCTTTAAAGGTTTGTTTTGAGGTCCTCTTGGGGTTTAAGGTTTAGGTTTTAGGGTTCAGCCCTCCTTGAAAGGGCGCTTGTGTAAGGGTTCAGTGGTTAGGCTTGAAGTCGGAGCCTTGACGCAGGACTTCTTCATAGACTTGCTGTGCAATCTGCCCAAAGCCCCCTTCTGACAAGTGAAGGCCCCTTACAGTAGGTGGGAGCCTGCCATATCCCTCACATAAAGGAAACCGGGTTATGGATCCTGTATCAAGAACCCCGGGCTCGGGGAAGTTGCAGTATCTACGTCTAGGTTCGAAGCAACCCCTAAACCCGAAACGAAAAGTTGCAGCTGATTCGGTGACTAGCTGGGCCTTCTATCCGCATGAAGCCTACATCCTATAGGCCCTAAACCCTTAAACCTAAACCTGAGACCCTAAACCTCTAGACCCTGAAACCCTAAACCCCAAACCCTACCACCTCAAAAAAAAACCTACACTCTGCGGTCTTATCGTTTAAGGATTCAGGCTTGGGCCCTAGAATTATCAGGGTCGGAGGCCCAGACCATTGAAGTTGTTGGCTTGGAGGTCTGGATAGGCAACTGTTGATTTTGTGTGTATACATATGTGTATATATATATACATATATATACACACACATACGTGTATATACATATGTGTATATATACATATATACACATGTACAGATCTATGTGCATATTTCCATCTGTACAATACCTATATATATATACATATACATGCATGGAGATATGCATGCATGCATGCATGCTTACATACACAAATGCAAAAATACATACACACGCACATGTATGTATGTATGTATGCATGCATGCAAGGATGGATGGATGGATGTGTGTGTGTGTATGTGTGTGT